GTGCAAAGCCCAGCGACAAGCTGCCGAAAACAGCAGAACCGCCACGAGCACCACTAGCGACCGTAAAGTCCATTGTCAGAGTTGTAAATCGGAGAACGGAGAAAGGCAATAATGATTAGACAGAGTAGGGGACGAAACACCACTGAAAATATCATTCTTTAGAAGATAAAAAAGACATATATGGAAAATAAGTTAATATAAATGGAATCGCCTCAAATACCAGAAGGAGCCCTTTCAAAGTAAAAAAAAGTTGTGTGTTTGAGGAGGAGACGGATAACAAGGACTTAATATCCTCCGAATTTAAATATTTGCGCAATTTGGCTTTAAAACTGCTAAGTTATACGACAGCCTAATTTCGAGCGGAATATTATTCCAGTGGAAGGCATATTTGGAGGCAAAAAACGAAAATGGTTAGATGTGGAGCTAAAGGGTGGTGCAATTATCATGGAGGAATTACGAGTGGCATAAGGTCTATCTGCCGGAGTAAGAGCGTTGATCCGTGGGAGACTAGGGCTAGAGTTAACGCGAAATAGGAAGCAGAGGCCCGTTTCGAGTCTTCTAACCCAAAGATATGTTATGTTCGCTAACTGATATCTCTCCGTATAAAAATAGTGGATCGAGCATGAGAAACTCTCTTTCGAGTAAAAACCCTCTGAACATTTTCAACCTTACCGCGGTCAGAGGCATTCATTTGACCAAAGGGGGACAGCAGTATTCTAGGATGGGGATAACAAACATGCGGTACAGTTATAATTTTATTTCCAGAAGGGGGAAATTGTGTGATGTAAAACCACACATCTCTGCAGCCTTCGCAAAAATTCGATCCGCATGAGGCGATAATGCCAGTTTATTTGTGCAACTTAGACCTAAGTCCGTGAAAACCCTCAAAGAATTACTTGCGCGGTGCACAAAAATGTGCAATTTCTCTGCAATGGCCGCTTTTACAGACCGATAGATGGTGTAGCGATGGGCTCACCACTTGGCGCGTCCCTCGCAAATGTTTTCATAAGCAAGATCGAGAGAAAGAATCTCAGAGACACCATCAATGTCCCTGCATTTTACGATCGATATGTGAATGTTATCTTCTGTATGACAGAATAGAACACTGACACTGATGCCATGGTCAGGAAGTTTAACAGCGTGCATCCATCGCTCAAGTCTTCTGTAGATACTGAGGTTGATAATGAAATTGCATTCCTTGATATCCCTCCATGAAGGCAAAATGACGGATCAATCCCGCGTAGGATATTCCGAAAGAAAACCTGGACGGAAAATTTGACATCCCGGCTCCGCATGTCAATATTCATCGTCTCTGGTAATGCATACTGCTTTTTGGCCTGAAGACGGAAATTGGCTTGCTCACCGCCGAAGTTTTTTTTACGGAATTCATATTTAAAGGGGAAATAAGGGAATGGGATAAAGAAGAGACCGTTTGGGTGCGGGAAAATTTGCAATAATAAAGAGAGACGCTTGTAATTGTTTTCCTTAAAGGGGTGAAGAAGTGCAGGAACGACCAAAGTGAAAGTTCGAAGACCAAGAAAACCATTAAGGCAACTCTTTTTGGTTAATAAAAAAGCCTATAGACCTAGAAAACTATTAGAGCGGCCCCTTTTACCATTAGACGGCCTCATAATAAAGCCCTACCCGTTTATGGATGAACTTGGTGAAGGGGCTAACATGCCCTTATTTTGAATTCTTCATGTGGCGCATCTGTCCGAGCAACTCATTGGAGTAATAAAATGAACTTGCTACAACCCTGCCAGCCAAATCCCCGGATCTCCCCATCGAAATTCCCGGGAGATAGGGGGTGATCTGGGGGTGACGACGGGGATTTTTCGGGGGTGAGGACGGAGTTTTCAACCTGCACATCCCCATCCCCCCTCCCCCCTCCCCCCGTCGTCATCCCC